ACACAAATCCATACACAGCAGCTGAGAATGGTGTTGTTGAGAGACGGAATGGAGTCCTACAAACAGGGTGGATTTGATTTAAATCAAGTTGATTTAAATCATGATTTAAATCATGATTTAAATCACTAGTAAAAAGACTTGATTTAAATTAACTCGATTTAAATCAATTTTTAAAGAGCAACTGTCATCTCTGCTACTCCTTTGACCCACTGTTGACTCACCGATAGTCCCAGTGTTGCAGAATATACAGCCTTGTGCTACATAACTAAGCTCCATTTCATGCTGAATAAACTAAATTATTTATGTATCTTAAATAGAAAACTATCTTATAATAGATTTTTACCCGAAAAGTTTTTTATTAAAATAAAGTCAATAAAAATCAAAAAAAGTCTGATTTAAATAAAAAAATCCGATTTAAATAAAAAAAAATCCGATTTAAATAAAAAAAATCAAATTTTTTTGATTTTTTTAAAAAAATCATTGATTTTTATCCACCCTGCCTACAAACCATGAAGGACTCACTGCTGGAGGATTCTTGTCTGAGCAGGTCATATTGGGGTGAAGCCATGTTGACGGCTCATTATTTAATTATTAGACTGTGGAGTTCATCCATAAATGATACTCCATATGTAGTGCTATATGGGGGAAAACCAACTCTGGCACATTTAAGAGTTTTTGGAAGCAATGCGTGGGTGCATATTCTTTTACTGTTACAAAAAGCAATTGGAAGAAAGGGACAACCAAAGGTTAGAAAGCTCAGGTTTATGGGCTATGAGCCAGGTTCAAAAAGCTATTGTTTTAGTGATGGGAGCAAAAGAATAGTGATTTCCCGGTCTGCTAGTAAAATTGGAAAAGAATTGATGCAAATTTATGGAATGATTCCCTTAGTGATGGTGATCCACTTAGTGATGGTAACTCACTTAGTGATGGTGTCAGTGTTCAGGGAGGAGAAGCTGAAAAAGCTGTGAAGCAAGACAGGGTTGAAACACAGGAGCAGTCAATGCCACGCAGGTCAGAGCGATGGAACAAGGGGATTCCACCTGACAGGTATTCTGCTAGTAAAGTTAAAGTATATAATGTATGGTATGAGCCAACAAACTATAAGGAAGTATTGGCATTACCTAAAATTGAACAAATAAAGTGGAAAGAAGCCATGGACAAGAAAATAAAATCCATGGCTGAACAAAGTGTTCACATCTATGACTTTGCCACAGGGTAGCAAAGCTGTAGGATGCAAATGGATATACAAGAAGAAAGTACTGTCCAGTAATGAGATCCAGTATAAAGCAAGGTTAGTGGCACAAGGTTTTTCACAGTTGAAAAATGTGCACTATGATGAGGTATTCACACCAACTGTAAAGAGTGAAACATAAGACTCGCACTAGCATTGGCAGCGGCACATGGCCATAAAATTTGGCATTTTGCTATAACCACTGCATTTCTCAATGCTGAGTTAGAGGAAGAAATCTACATGGTTCAAGCACCAGGGTATGAAAGTAAAAAGCCTAACATGGTGTATAAATTGAACAAGGCCATTTATAGGCTGAAGTAGTTAGCCAGGAATTGGAATACATGTTTAGATACTGCATTGCAGTGTCTTGGGTTCAAGAATTGCAAGGCTGATGGTTGCATGTACACTGGAAAGTTACAAGGTGGGGATTGTCAACTATTAGCATTTGTGGGTGATCTTTGTTTCATTGCAAAGAATGTATCACAGTAAAAGGGTTCTCAAGTATTTGAAGGAAATTGTGAATGTGGGTCTTCAAATACAGGTATCTGAAGAATATTAAGGTAATTTGATTTTGTTTGTATTCCAGTTATGAAGGGAGGAGTGTCAGAGTATGAATATTCATAAACTGGAATAGATCAGCCAATGAATAGGCATAGCAACTAAGTCAATCAATGAGGGCTGTTTAGGAGCTGAGACAGACCGGAGCCAGGGCATGCCTTAGTCTGCAGCTTCTGAGTCTGTGCAGAGAAACTGAAACTAGTTTGCTACTGGAACTGAAAGCAATCTCTCCTCTGCCTGTGAATCTGCTGTTGGTATTGTAAATTTACTTCATGTATTATTGTGTTAATGAATCCTGCTGCATCAGTTTATCTGCGTGTGCTTCTGGATTTGATTTTTGCAAGAAACTCTAACAGATGGTTTGGTTTTTTTTTTTTTATCATAATGGAACTGCTTTTGAGATAGGTTACGATAATTGTTCCAGTCAATAATGGGATTCTGTTCTGACATTAAGATTGGCACATAGTATTTAAACATCACTTTTGGTTTATGAAATAGTTTATATTTTCCTTTCTTTCTGGTATGCGTCCTATATGTGTATTTATCTATACATTGTACTTTAGGGTTCTTACCTTCTTACATCCTTTCTCAGTTTCTTAAGGGGAGAGAACACAAGAATGATCTTCCCAAGTTCTGCATCCTGTTGGCTAAACTAGCCTATTTCTCCTGGGTCATTTCACAGTTTGCTTTTGCTTCTGCAGTGTATTGAGAGGAAGGCAAAAGTTGTAAAATGAAAATGTTCTTCTGCAACATTTTTCAGTTTTATCATACAAAGTATCCGGAGCAAGACCAAAAAGAAGCTTCTCCTGCAGTCCATCTGTGATTGGTGACCTGATTGTTTGACAGACATGCCCCCTGTTTAGCAGTAGAAGCCCCAATCCCTGGCTTTGGTATCTTACATGTAAGTGTTCACACACTCATGATCTGATTGTAACAACTGTCTCAGAGTGGTAGGCCAGCCTCAGTGTGGACTGATGGCTCTGCTTCATCTTTTTCATTTTTTTCAGGCTGATCTACTTTCTTCCTGCTCCCAATACGATGAAAGGAAATGGCAGCTCTGAGGTACACCTGCCGGGGTTTGCAAGTGCCTAGGTGGCCTCAAACTCATTGCTCATCCCTTTTACCAGCAAGGTAGCAGTGTAGCTGCTGCAGGAGAATTGGGTGAGTCCAACAGTTGACTTTTATGTAAAAACAAACTGCAGGCTTCCAGTTCTTTTTACTTTACCGACTCATTAATTTTTCTTCTTTTGCTAAGAAATAAAACCACCTGAGAAATATGGGGTAGAATAGATGGAACATTAAGATAATTCGAAGTTGTTGTTTAAGAACATAGCAGTTGGAATCATCTTCTGTGATTTGTACTTCATTTGATTTTTCAGATAAAAATAGCAATGAGATAAGCCATTTAGTCATTTCAACATGATTATTTTGTAACCTCAGCCCAATAAGTTCCCCAATAAAGATGAGACTTATGCCACTTCATCTACAGAAGAACAGTCTGTTCTATATATTTAAGGCCTTACTAGCAATCCCTAGCAGCAAGTGAATTCCCTACAAAACCTTAATCTATCTAACTATACAGAAATCTCAGACCCCAAAATCAAGTGACTAGATTCAATTAACAATTTAATTACACATATTATTTGACTTATAATCACAATTGGAACTGGAATTGTGGTTCAAAGTCATTGTGGTTGTAAGTTGAGGCAACTTGTGATTGGATTGGATTTTACAACCATTTTTATCACTGTTGTTAAGTCTCCATGGTTATTAAGGGAAGCACATGCTCTTAACCCAATGGCTGTTTCTGCAAATGGCAAAAAAGTCACAAAATGCAATCATATGACTGCAGGACACTACAATTCGTCATAAATTCAAGCTGGTTGCCAAGTATCCAAAATGTAATTATGTGACGAGGGTGGTTGTAAGTTTGAGGATGGGTTGTAACCTTTTTTCAAATCCATGGTAGTTTGAATCGTTGTTAGCTGAGGGCTACCTGTAGTTCCTCCACTGATATGATTTCATTGCAGATCCAATTGCCTGTCATGTTTTGAACTGGGTTTAGAAAGTTGCTGAGACAAATATCCTTTTCCTCATTGTTATCCTAGTCAGGAGAGCTTGACTCAACAGGACTTATTCAAAACTGGCTAGGGGATTTATTCCAGTTGCCTTTTTCACTTGATGCTCACCTTGAATTTACTTACTTTGACTCAGATTTGGCTAATCTACATTGACTGGAATTTTTTACATAGATCTGAAATCACTGAATGTGTTGGTGACCCTCAATAACCACAGAAAAAGCACAATGTTTTGTGTGTTTCTTCAAGATTTTGATGATTTAACTGTAGAAAAATGAAGCATGCTTTGAGCACTCTCCTGCTAATTTCCAAGGCAGCTTACCATAATACCCTATTTGAGCCAGAAAGTGTACTTAGTGTAAACTTTGGCTAAAGATTTCTGATCACAACTTCCTTCTGGTAGTAACCCAAAATATATATTTATTAAATTTATATGCCACCTATCAAATATGGGGGCTTACAATGTTATAGTTAATGATATAAAACAAAGCATCAAAAAATTAAAACATTGGGCAGCAAAATCAAACCATAAGTTAACAAATTCCTTGTGTAAGTTAACAAATTCCTTGTGTAAGTTAACAAATTCCTTGTGTGTCCACTCACACTTGGCCAATAAAGTATTCTATTCTATTCTATTCTGTTCTGTTCTGTTCTGTTCTGTTCTGTTCTGTTCTGTTCTGTTCTATTCTATACAATAAAGTGATCAAAGAACCAATGGGTACATGGGGTAGAGGTGGGATCTTCTACTAGTCTCCTAGCCACTTCCAAAATGAGACACCTCCAATATAAAATATTGTTCCTAGGAATGCTGATCTGACACCTACTTTGATATAATTCCAAGAGCTAGACTAAAACAATTTTAATTTCCCATTAATATTATTTGAGAGTTTTATTGGATTTCAGTGCTCCTGTACTATCTATTGTTTAGATATTGTTTTTTGAATTGTATTACATTTTGAATAGTCATTACATTTTAATTTCTCTTGTACAAGTGGCCAGAGAGAACTATACAAACTAAAAAACAAATAAATATTTAAATAAAATGTTGTTTATGAAGTATTTGTTAACATAAATTGTTTAAATGATGGCATCATAACAGAATGAATGTCTGGTTTATATGTCAACACTAGATGGCAGTGCTATTTCCATTTAGTTTTTTAAAGTTAAGTATTTCTAATATGTTTTCAAAATCTTTCCAATCTCCTTTCTTCAAAATAGACCAAAATTATATTTGCAATTTTGTGAGTTCTTTATCTTTTTTGAAGTGATATACAATCAAGGGGCATAAAGTTATGCAGTATTAATTTTAATTGTCTTCCATTTGTGGTTAGTTCAGGCTTATCATTAAAAGGAATGTAATATACAATAGATAATCGGTTCATCTTTTTTTTTTTATGTCTGGATTTAAGTTGGAACTCTCTAGTTTGTTAGATGTAGTGATGTTGCCTTTCTCCATTCCCGTATTCATGCTTCTCTTTGCCAGCTTTATCCCCTTGGTTCCGCTATACTACTTAGGAACTCAGCAGTGAAATCCAATTTTTTTTACTACTGGTTCTGTGGGTGTGGCTTGGTGGCGTGGTGTGGCTTGGTGGCGTGGTGTGGCTTGGTGGGCATGGCAGGGGAAGGATACTGCAAAATCTCCATTCCCACCCCACTCCAGGGGAAGGATACTGCAACATCCCCATTCCCTCCCCACTCCTGGGGGAAGGATATTGCAAAATCTCCATTCCCACCCCACTCTGGGACCAGCCAGAGGTTTTATTTGCCGGTTCTCCAGAACCTGTCAGAACCTGCTGGATTTCACCCCTGTAGCAACTGCATTCTGACTCAGTTAGAGCATTCTGTGAGTTGCTGTTCCCAGGCCTGCATCTGTTCATAACAGAAAGTTAATCCAAGCAATATGTCTGGTGATTTACTTTGCAGCCACTTTAGACATCCTAAATTGGGGAGGGGATGATACGTGTTTGTTTTTTATTGATTATCAGTCCAAGCCAAAAGGGTTTTTCTTACAGTTTCATAGGAGGAGCACATTAACTTTGGCTGTTACAGGTTGGGGAAAAAGTTCTGACTTTCTCTAAGCATTTAATCTGCAAAGCACACCAGTGCCTTATTAATATATAAAGGCATGGTTTTTTAAAAATACAATATGTCTACTACCTGAGTTGAATAATTAGAAAAAAAGTGTGACGTTTGGGGACATTTTGGTTCTTAGTCAAACTATGATTTAGGTATTTCTGATGCAATCTCGCTTCACAAGCCCCAGGCGTGGTTGATAGGGCCATCAATTTAATAAAACAAAAAAATCAGAAATTTGCAACCAAGTTTACTGCATTAAAGGGGCTGGTTATGGGACTATATCTATCTTCTCTGAGGACGAGCCTTGCCTAGTGCTGAGAGATAAGTAATGTCTGCTGAGAGATAAGTAATGCCTGCTTCCTGATCTGTCTACTATATACCTTTCAACAGTTGGTGAAGGCCTTTCTGAATCACTGTCCATCAAGCTCATGCAAGGTATATGAGCCTCAGGATTATCCTTTTCCCACCCAAAAGCTTCAAAATATGCCAGATGGACCTAAGAAAACCTTGTTCACAATCTTAATACCTGCATAGTCATATCACACACCCTCACAAAACAAACACCATCTTCTCTCTGGCTTAGTTATCCAGGAATAGAAATCCATTCACAAAAGGGGTCAAAGCCAAAAGGAGAAATACCTGATACAGACTAATTTCTGACATAAAATATAGGAGTCCCTGCGGATTTTACTCTGGTAGCCGTAGCTGACTATAGAGGCCGATGCTTGTCTCTGTTTCAAGGCCATTGACATTTCCGTGGTCATGTGGCCAGTATGATGTCATGAAGCACTGTTACTTTCCCACTGTTACCTATTTATCTACTTGCATTTGCATGCTTTAGAACTGCTAGGTGGGCAGGAGCTGGGATGAGGACGGGAGTTTACCTGTTGTGTGGTGCTCGGGTCTCGAACCCAGGTTATCAGCCTACAAGCCCAGTGTCTTAACCACTGAGCCACCGTGTGCGTGACATAAAATCTAAGGAAATAAAAAAGCACTTAAAATACAAATAGCAATAAGAACATCCTGTGTAATGATGGGTACTCTCTTGCTATAAAGGTAAATTATCTTTCTATTCATTACACAAAGTTCTTATGAATATGACAAATAGATATGGGTCATTAGTCATGATATGGGTTTTAAATCTGTGAATTAAAAGAGAGCAATTTTTCTTTTTAATACGTTGAATTGTGAGGATGAGGTGACAAATTAAATTAAGGAATGACATCTTCATGAATTTTTTAGGAAAGATCCTATGGTATGTTCGTTACCTTGAGTTATTTATAAAAAAAAGCGGGATTAAAAAAAACTTTTAAAAAGTGTAAATGCTTTTCTGTAGGAGCAATGACTTTATTCTGTTAGCAACAGGTTAGCAGGTTAGCAATAGGTTAGTGTCAGAATCTTTTGTGACTATAAGAAATTGTGTGGTCATGTTCCAAATCAATACTTCTGCCTGGCAAGGAGCAGAGTAATGAGCGCATGGCTCTGTCAGTGCATACTTTTTGGGGTTCCATGTAGTCATCAACTGTTAGGTTTCTCCTTTTTGTCTTCCTGCAAGATACTGCTGGATCCACTGTTCTGCATCATGTTTTGCAGTATCATCTTTTCTTCCTCAAAGTCTAAGAGCCTAGTGGGGAGGTTGAAAACTGTTTCTGATTTCCAGCCTTCAGAATAGATTTTGTGGGTCTTACTTTTGGTAGTTATTTTGTTGATTGGGCTTTCTCTTTTGTTTGTCTGTTTATGATGAATTGCTTTCTCTTTCAACTCCTGTGGTAGCATCCCCTTTGTTTGATCTGATAAATCTTTATCCTGTGTCTGAAGTGTGTCTGCTCCTCTACTTTGATTTATTTTTTTCTTTAAGCAATGGTAGAAATTTGCACTTAATGCAAATATATGCCAGGTTGTTTTCTGGGAAGAAGACGGATGTGCCAGAAGCATTGCAAGTTAGGGCAGCAGTTTCATATCTGTTCATCTTCATTTTTGTTTCTTAAGGTAGCTCCAATAGAAAGGCTCTTCTCAAACTAGTGAACTAAACACAAGTGACTTTGAGGGATGGATTTTTTAAAGGATTCCTCCTTAAGCCCTGCTTCAGCTCTTTACAACTCCCACTTGTTTCCTCAACTTACCACTCACTCGTTAAGCTTATATTCTGGAACTGGGGTACCATATATTTCACTAGCAGGCACTGTAGGTTCCATTTTATTTATTTTCTCCTTGTTGTGGTTCCCTAGTAAAACAGCATGGCAGCATTCTGCAGTATAATGCTTTAGAGCTATCTATATTAACCTCTTCCACCTCTATGGCATGCAACTTCTAAGATCATCAGGCTGAAAGAGGCTTTGGGAAGCCACTTTTTAAAGGCTTGTTTAATGTTTCGTTAAAATGTGTGGTTTCTTAATAATACATATCTAAAAATTTGGGTCTCTCATATAGATATTCATATTCTAGAAAAAGTTTGAGAAATCAAAATGGATTAACATGGGCAAATGGGGAAAGAGCTCAAACCTAAATATTTTCATTTTGTGGGAGGTATATCTCATCTTTTCTAATGCAGGAATTATTCATGTCTGAATACATGCATATTACTTAATATTGAAGCAGAGTAAAAATCTCTATATAATAACTTCAGTCCTATACACATTTACTTTGGATTTTTTTTCAACTTTCAATAGATCTAGATTCATAGGTGTTCATAAATATCTTTCTAGAAGAAGGTAATCTCTGCTCTTTTGGCTACCTTACACTGTGGCACTCCTTGATAGTGGCACTGGCAGTGCTGGGATTGAAGTAGAGGCCTAGGGCCTTCAGCAGTCTTAGCCCCGCCTCCTGACCTCTACTTAGGCTTGTTGCTACTGCTGCCAGGAGTGCATGGGCTACCTTTAGAAGAAGTAAGAACCTGGGAAATGAGCAGATAACGTTAGAAGCTTTGAAAGAAAGGTTTAGATGAGAGATTTTCACAGCTTTCACAGTCTAAGGAAGCTCTGTCAGGGAATAAACAGAATCATCAAATCCAATTACTGTCATGGTTGACCTTAAAGACAGAACTGTGTTTGATTTGAGTTGCAAGGGACCAGAGAGTTGCAATGTTTTTTGTGCCAATCAGATTGAATGACTGAGTCCCAGCAAGCAGTTCACATTCTGTCAAGTCTGAAGGGTTCTTGTCTTCTAATATCCTAGAAGTTAAAATCAGAATTCAAAATTAATGAAAGAAGTAACCTGAAAATAATGGTATGAACTCTAACATACAAAGAGAAATACAAAGTACTTTTTTCAAAAAGAAGTCCGATTAATATAATGGTTTGTACTTTTTGGTTGAAGGAGGCAGTGCAAGACAGAAGGACCAAGGGTTGGACACAATTGTATGGCTAATGATAATGACCTTCTATGGTAATGCTATTGTGTAAAATATCTGTCAACTCAAGCTAACTTGACTGAAGCCATCTTGTGCTGCCTCAAAGTGGTCACAAAGCCTGAGAAAGAAGAGAAGGGGGAAGTAAATAGCCAGCTTACAATCAAAATAAAAAGTTTTCCTGTGGGAACCAAGATAATTTTAACAGGTGGCTGGTGAAGGAGGAGAGGAGCCTGCCAGCTGTATTCATTGGGTCATGTGACTGGTGATACTGGGGAGGGGGGAAGTTTCATTCTTTTAATTAGGTGGAAACTGTGGGAACCTTCAGAGTTGGTGTTCACTGGTTGTGCCAATATGATGTATCCAATAAACATGTTCCTAGAGGAATCTATCTGCCTCGGAGTTCTGCTTTCGATGGGTGCATTACTTGGAATGCTGACAATATCTTGGAATAGTAGTCGCTACAAGTGAAAATGAGTCAGCAATGTCATCTGAATGAAGAAAAGAGGCAAATATTGCTTTAAATTGCAGAAAGAGAAATGTGGTTTGTAAACCATGAGAAGCAGTAATTCTACTTTATTCTCCATTATACAGATTCCATCTTGTATACTGTGTGTAACTGATCGGGACTGCAAGAATCTGATTGTCATATAACTTGGTCTAAATAATCATGCCAGTAACTCTACTTACAAGAATTCTGGTTTAACCTGTTGGGATTGCCAGTCTTGCTGCCATGACTCTTCATCCAAAAGTGTAATAATGGTTAACTATACCTGCACCCTGTAATAGAATATGTTCTGACATTCATAAAATGTTCTTTTAAAAATGAGAGTCAAGTTACATAATGAATTCTTGCCTTTACTGTTGTCCTTATGTGTGTTTATGTTGGGGAAAAGAAGACTTGCTATTGTCATTCTCTGGATTTTCAATTTTTTTTTTTAGTGGATGGAGCTGCAATCACCCTTTACATTTTTAAAAATGATAATAATATTTCCATCTGCATGTGTATATGACTACGTATGTATACTGTGAAGGAGCCAACATATATACATACATATTCACCCACACCTACCCACCCACCCACACACATGTATAATACATATACATATACTGTATGTACTGCTGGTTCATATTTAAGTGATTGTCCACTAGGACTCCAAGATCCCTCTCATAGTTACTGCTATTGAGCCAGGTTTCACCTAATCTGTACATGTATATTTTGGATTTTCTTGCCTAAGTGTAAAATCTTACTTTTTTCTACACTGAATTTCATTTTGTTAGATAGGGTGCAGTATTTAAGTCCATGTGGATCTTGAGCCTATCTTCTGAGGTGTTGGCTATTCTCGACAATTTGGTGTCATCTGCAAATTTGATGAATTCCCCTTTTATTCCCTCATCTAAATTGTTTATGAAGATGTTGAAGAGTACTGGGCCTAAAATGGAACCTTGGGTTACCCCACTGCTTCCTTCCTTCCAGGTAGATATAGTTCCATTAAGGACTTCACATTGAGTGTGATTTGTCAACCAGTTACCAATCTATCTGGTGATGATGCTATCTGTCCAACATTTTGTTAGCTTATGAAGAAGTAGGTTGTGCTCTACTTTGTCAAATGCCTTACTGAAATCCAAGTATATTATGTCACCTGCATTTTGTTGGCCCACTAATTTAGTCACTTTGTCAAAGAATGAAATGAGATTTCATTCATCAAATAAGATTTGTTGGACATGATCTGTTTTTGACAAACCCTTGTTGGTTTCTGGTTATAACTTTGCTTGCTTCTAGTTTTTTCACAGACTTGTTGCTTGATTATCTTTTCCAGGATCTTCCCAGATATTGATGTCAGACCAATTGGTCTGTAGTTTTCTAGATCTGTCTCCCCCCTGTTTTATGAAGATAGGAACCACATCAATTCTTTTCCAGTCCTTAGGTAGTTCCCTGGTGCTCCAGAATCATTGAAAGATATGGTTCAATGATTCCAAGATCAGATCTGCCAGCTCCTTCAGAACTCTGGGATATAATCCATCAGGTCCTGGTGATTTGAACTCATCTAGAGCAGACAACTGTTATTATTTTTTTTTTTTAAATTAGATTTATATGCCGCCCTTCTCCGGAGACTCAGGGCGGCTTACAATGCGTTAAGCAATAGTCTTCATACTTTTGTATATTTTATACAAAGTCAGCTTATTGCCCCCACAAACTGGGTCCTCAATTTACCTACCTTAGAAAGGATGGAAGGCTGAGTCAACCTTGAGCCTGGGGAGATTTGAACTTGCAATAATTGCAGACAGCTGAATGTTAATAACAGGCTTTTAGTCTGTTGAGCTATCCAGGTTTACCATTTTCTTGGTTATTTTAATTTTAATTTGTATTCATTTGTATTCCTAGTCTGTCTTTTACAGTTATGTTTTTGAAAGATTGGGCTGCATTATCTTTTTGTGTGAGGACAGATGCAAAGAATAAATTAAGTAGCTCTGCTTTCTCTCTACTGCATGTTACTTCCTTGCCATCTTCTGTCATTAGTGGAGCAATTGTTTCCTTGCCTATTTTCTAGTTTTTTATACGTTGAAAGTAACTTTTTTTCATTATTTATTACTTTTCACATAAGTTGAAATAGGACTGTATTACTGGAATGTTAAATGTTAAAGATCATTTTGTATGCTGAATAATAATTGATATAACGTATTTTTATTATATAGTTTGTATAACCCATTGGCCTCCAAGCCCCTAATTCTTCCTTAATTATTGTTTGTTACAAAACTATAATTGGTTCCAAGTATTTCTCTTCCATTTATGTTCTATGTATCTTCATTATTTTACTATTAAGTGTTATATCCTGCTTTTCTGCCAGGAGCTAGATGACAAACAACATTCTTTCCTCCTTTCTTTGCCCAAAGTAAGAATCCAGTGACATAAGTTGGTCTTAGATATGGATTGGCCCATAACTGCTCAGGGAAGTAGCATAGTTAGATGTGTATGGCAATAGCCTTCATACTTTTGTATATTTATACAAAGTCAGCTTATTGCCCCCACAAACTGGGTCCTCAATTTACCTACCTTAGAAAGGATGGAAGACTGAGTCAACCTTGATTTAAGACTTAAATACAGTCTTAACCCCCTTTATCCTTGGTTACTTGTACAAAACCGTATTGTCCTGGTTCATTTCCTTCTCTGTGGCTGTTCTCAGTCAGTATTGATAGGAAGCAAAAGGTCCCGCTCTTGTCTCTTGCTTTGCAGGATCCCTCAGGGTTTGGTACTTTTTTCTGCTTCTGTTTAACATCTACAGTACATGAAGCCACTGGTAAGATTATCTGTCACAATGAGCTATATATCATCAGTATGCTGATGATACCCAGCTCTATATCTCAGCCCATGGTGAATTAAGTGATGCCATGATCTACCTCTCACAGTGCTTGGAGGCTGTTAAGGGCTGGAGGGGGAGCAGTGGGCTGAAACTAAACCATGGAAAGATGAAACGGCTCTGGGTTTGGGTTCTTTGGTTCATGAAGAATTGCCATCACCTAACATAACAAGAATTGTTATCACCTTTAAAGTGCTCCATGGCATCGGGCCTAGCTATCTTCGAGACCGCCTGCTGCTACCGACGACCTCCCATCGTCCCGTGTGCTCCCACAGAGAGGGCCTCCTCAGGGTGCCATCAGCCAATCAATGTAGGCTGGTGACCCCCAGGGGGAGGGCCTTCTTTGTGGGGGCACCTACCCTCTGGAATCAGTTGCCCCCAGAGATAAGGAGAATCCAAGACCTTAGTGCCTTCCGCCGTGCCCTTAAAACCCACTTTTTCCAGCAAGCCGGGCTGGTTTAAGAAAAATTTTTAAATGTTTTAATTGGTTTGTATTTTTAATGTTGGGCCAAATTTATATATATATTAATTGCTTTTTAATATTTGTATTCCATGTTTTTTAATTCTGGCTGTACACCACCCTGAGTCCTCAGGGAGAAGGGCGGTATATAAATTTAAAAATAAATAAATAAATAAATAAATAAATAAATAAATAAACAAATAAACAAATAAATAAATAAATAATCAATCAAATCAATCTTTGGTTTTGGATGGGGTTACATTGCCCAGAGGGACTTGGTACATAATCCAGGGGTTTTCCTGGACTCACAACTTCTGCTCAAGGACCAAGTAGCAATTATGGCCAGGAAGGACTTTGTGCAAACATAGGTTGTCCAATCAATTATGCCCTTTCCTGGACCAACAAACCTTGCTCACAGTTACCCATGCCCTAGTCACCTCCCATCTCAACTACTGAAATGTACTCTACATGGGGCTGCTCTTAAAAAGTATCCAGAAATGTCAGTTGATTCAAAATATGGTATCCCACATGGTTTTTTTACAAGCCTAGATTTGCACATATGTCACCACTCCTGCGGGAATTGCATTGGTTACTGATTTACTTCTGAGTCCAAATCAAAATGCTGGTTGTCACCTTGTGGTCTTGAAACAGGCCTCTAGAAGGATAAGAGACCTACAGAAACAATACCAATTTTTGACTACGATGTTGATTAAATATGAGGTAAACTTCAGATGGCTGATACCTGAGGGAATACTAGTTACCTGGCACAAAAAGAGATACAGACTGGATTCACTGCATAAAGCAATGGTATTCTATGATCACCACTTCAACATGGATGAGGGACAGGAAGCGAAAGGAGAAATAGAACACAAAGGTCAAGAAGAGTCAACAACAGAAGAAAAGTGTATACAACAAGAAGAAAGTGAAGCTGAGAAAAAGAACGAACAGAGCAAGAGGGAGCAAGAGCAAAGGACCAGAGAGAAATAAGAGTAACTAGGGGAACAAGACCTATATATAAGTGAAGCAATCAAGAAGAAATAAAGATGCTGTCAATTAATATAAATGGATTGAATTCCCCCAGGAAAAGAATTTTTTTAAATAAAACTACAAAGATTAAAATTAGATATAATATCTTTACAAGAAGTACATATTAAAAAGCACCATAATAAATTATTGGAGTATTCTATAAGCCTCACTATTGCAACAAAAGAAAAGAGGGGTAGTGTTATATATTAAAGAAACAATAAATACTAAACAAATTTTTAAAGATGAAGAGGGGAGAATTTTGATGGTGGAAGTGATATTAAATCAGAAACAGATACTTTTAGTAGCAATATATGTGCCGAATAATGGACAGGAAGAATTTTATAAAAAGCTTCACAAGAAGATACTTGAAACAGAGTATGAAAATATTTGTCTCATAGGAGATTTTATTGCACTAGTCAATACAAAACCTGACTATAAAAGTAGTAAAATATGTAAAAAACCAAGAAAGACCTTATTTAAAACTTTTTTTAAGATGGCGGAAGAAATTGGCATAGAGGATACTTGGAGAGAAATAAACCCAGGGAAAAATCAATATACATTTTACTCTAACAGACATCAATCTTGGTCTAGAATAGATATGATATGGATGTTGGCAGAATTAAGCACAAGTGTGCAAGAGATAGAAATAGAAACAAATTTATGGGCCAACCATAATCCAATAAAAATTAGTTGGAAGAGATAAAAGAGAAGAATAAGATGGACTTTGAACCAATCAATATTAAAAGACAAAGAATTTATACAGATGATGGAAAAAGAAATGGGATTTTAAAAAAAAGAGAACTGGAAAGGGGAGACTTCATTACAAAATGTTTGGGATATAGCGGAAGCATATATTGATTAGCTATAACCTATATAGCGAGGAAAAATAAGAGAAAGAAGCAATACCAAAAGAAACTAGAAGAAAATTATAAAAGACTTGAACTAGAGCTACAAAAAGAACCACAAAAGGTGAATTTAAAAAGCCAAATGGAAATAATTAAACATAAGCTAAATATAATGGAAAAGGAAGAATTGGCACAACAAATTAAAAGAGCAAAACAAAACTTTTTTGAAAATGCCAATAAACCAGGAAGATGGTTAGCTTATAAATTGAAGAACGAAAAGAGAAGAAATTGATAAGCAAACTTAAGGATGAGGAAGGTATATTATATCACCAAATGGAAAATAAAAAGAAGACAATTCAGGAGTTTTACAAGAAGTTATGTAATTATGAAAAAATCCCAGAGGAAAAAATAATACAATACTTAGAAAAAGCTAATTTACCAAAAGTGTCTGAAACAGTGAAGAATATGCTAAACGAAAGAATAACAATAGTAGAACTAGTAGAGGCGACTAAAAGACAAAAGAATAATAAAACACCAGGTCCAGATGGTCTACCAGCAGAAATCTACAAAAACATACAAGATACATTAAGCTTGTCAATTTTAGAGGTGTATAATGAAGTTTTATTAGAAGCTAAAATACCACATACATGGACAGAAGCTAATATTACTTTAATCTTGAAAGAAGATTCAGATTAAACACAAATAAAGAATTATAGGCCAATATCCTTATTAAATGCAGACTACAAAATACTTGTTTCAATAATAGCTGAAAGACTTAAAAGATTCTTGAATGAGTTAATACACTCTGATCAAAATGGGTTTTTACCTAAATGACAAATTAAAAATAATGTGAGAATTACCTTAGATAAGTTGGAGTATTATGAAGTACACTGCGAAAAATAATTGGCATTAATTTTTCTAGATGCTCAGAAAGCTTTTGATAACGTAAACTGCTAACGTTTACTACCGGTTCTGTGGGTCTGGCTTGGTGGATGTGGCTAGGTTGGTGTGGCTTGGTGGGCGTGCAAAATCTCCATTCCTACCCCACTCCAGGGGAAGGATACTGCAAAATCCCCCTTTTCTCCCCACTCCTGGGGGAAGAATATTGCAAAATCTCCATTCCCACCCCACTCGGGGGCCAGCCAGAGGTGGTATTTGCCGGTTCTCCGAACTACTCAAAATTTCCGCTACTGGTTCTCCAGAACCTGTCAGAACCTGCTGAATTTTATCCCTGGTCATAAGTCACTTTTTTCAATGCCCATGTAACTTTGAATGTAACTAAATGAACTGTTGTAAGTCAAAGATTACCTGTATAAAAATACAAAAGGCTTCTTTTCTTTCAAAAAGCTGCCCTAAATACCAGTAATTAGATTAGAAATGGGGGAATGCACACTGAAGATCAATGAGTCACAGCCGTCATGGAAACCTAAACCATTCTGTCTGAATACCTTCCTTTTCCTCAGCAATACCTGCAACCTGGAGTTACAGATCAGGCAGGTTGTACTTTTAGGAGAATAAAATGCACTCCTCCCCAAAGAAGTGGGTGAAAATGTCTGTGCATTTTATACAGCGAATGTTGCCGAAGCCTCACCCACCCACTCTTTGGCCTCTGCCTTCTAGCAATTTTCCTCCTTGCAGCAAACAGCATGGTCAGCTTCAGCACAGCCTGATTTAGCACGAGCAGCTGATTGGTGGTTGGATCAGCCTCCCCGAATACCGCCTATCAGATGTTCCAGGCTGCGGGGATTGCCACCATCCATTGGCGCCAGCACCTCCCATTGGGGGTGGTGACAGCAGCGATGGGTGGCGATGGCGGCGATGGGTTGCAGCGATCCCCGCAGCCTGGAACAGCTGATAGAAGGTATTCTGGGAGGCAGATCCAACTGCCAATCAGCTGCTCGTGCTAAATCAGGCTGTACTGAAGCTGACCACGCTGTTTGCTGTTTGCTGCAAGGACGCAAATTGCTGGGAGGCAGATTTTTTTTTTTTCCTCCCCAAAAGCTAGGGGCATCTTATACTTCGAAGCGTCTTATAGTCCGAAAAATACAGTAGTTAAAATACAAGGATAACTATCAGCAGCCAAGTTACTCTTGCTCATAAAGTGAAACACTTTAGTAGAGAGGTCATTTAAACTCTCCAGAAAGTGGGTGGGCAAAATGCTGAGCTAAAGAGACAAATTAACAAATTAAATCTTGAGTGAGGGCTAATCTCATTCTGCCTTTGTTCAGACCTTGCTACAGGGAATTTTTGCCTATGAATATACCTATCTATCTCTTAAGTGCTGATATCTGTGGGCTATTAAGGAAGGTTTATTAAGCTGCTTTCTCCCTCTAAGAAAACATGTTTCTCCATTTCTCATTCAGGGAAATATATTCTTCCCTTTTAATATTTCATTCTTCTAGGAGAGGGGTGGGTGCTAACTTTCTACAAATGGTGCCATGTTACTATGCCATATTACCATGAGAGAAAA